CCCAGAAGTCCTTGCTGCTCCATTGGAAATGGTGCCGCAGCTCGAGGACTCTCCTGGATCTGACATAGTGGTCCCCGCATGTACCATTGATATATGAAGCTATGATCACGCAATCAAGAAGAGTGAAACTCCGAGGTTTAAACATAGAAGTTCCAAGAGCCCTCTCCTGCCAAAGTGAGGGCCACTGACAAGTACGATCGTCACGTCTGCCAACAAAGGCTCCCTGAAATGAAAGGCCTGCTCATGGAGAGGGACCCGTACGGAGGAGCGCAGTTCAGGAGAAATTCGATGGGAGCTAGGACCTGTATATATCCTGAACTGTAATTTTGTGGTTCTGATTTCAGGGACCCCGAAACGGAATCTTGACCGAGATTAGAAAAAATAGAGAGATCAGGTAAGGAGAAGTTAGATAGGTTAGATACGTCAGATATATTAGATAAATTAGATGGGTTAGGTACAAAAATAGATTGGACAGAGAGATAAACAAATGGATAAACGGATGGATGGATGGATAGACGGACGGATGGATGGATGGACGGACGGATCCTTCTCATCAATGTCAGCCTCTTCTGGTCCATCAAGTAGGGCAGGATGATCTCGCCCGCCTGGATACTCTAGGATGTAGTCCGTGCCACCCTCTCATTGGGGCTTAGTGTTTTCTGCGACCGCGATGCACAACGGATACTGCTATGGAACGTGACGCTTCAAACCCAGAAAAATTACTTCTCAGCGCGAGGAGTAGTCGGGCTGTGTTCATACAGCTTGAAGAAAGAATCCCAATGCTTTTGCTGAGCCCAAGCATATCCAATGCGGCGGGAGCAGGGACAGTTTGCTGCTCCCAGGGTTCAGGGTTTAGGGTCTGCGGTTAGGTTAGGGTTTAGAGCTTGGGGTTTGGGGTTCAGGGCTTGGGTTCCGAATCTGTGAGGATGCACCGGGTATGTCCGGCCTGATGAGCGTTCTCCTCCGGCACGATGATGGAAAACTCAGTCCAATCAAAATAGCACGCCCCAGGAAGGTAGTACCTTTCCATGAGACAAGCAATGCCAGATGTGTGATGTGTGTTCTTTAGGGCCAGGGTACATGCTGCTCCGGATTCTTGAAGGAGCAGAGTTTGTAGCATTCTTACGACAGGAGTCGGTGTGCGGCATGACAAGCACATGGAGCATTCTTCGCTACACCTGCCTGCAGCTGCAAATGAAGCCCTAGTGCACCCACCTGCACCTTCTCGCCGGAAGTTGCAACAGACTGCTTTGCAACTAGCCCACTTGAATTTCGCCACGTAGCCCAGAAGCTATAATGACCTGAGTTTGGGCATTCTCTTTGACTAGCACATAACATCATCGCAGAATAATCATGCGCACATGTTGTCTCAACTCTTGCAATCACGCTGCTGGGATGCATCCAAACCACATCCTGATCGAACTGGCTCTGGGCTGAGAGACTGAACATAACTATGCTTGGCTACAAAATGCTGCGCGCCGTTAGCCTACATGAAATAGTGAAGTCAGGACATTACGATGCCCATCCAGACCCGAGGTTCTCCACGATAGGAAGAAAAGCGTCCAATGTGTTTACTGTGATGCAGATCAGATCTGTGACAGGCGATCACTGCACTGCAACGTAGACGGTATCCACAACTGTCATGCGCCGCGACGCAGTGCCGGCTAGAGCGCGAAGTCCGGTTATCTTCATACCGCGAAGCGAGTCGAATCGGAACTGGCAACTACCATCGGTTGTCAAGGTGCATCTCGAAGAGTCGTGGTGACCAAACGCGGCTCCCCCTTGGCGCCAGGCAGAGCTCGCTGCTCTGGAGACTCTGGCGGTAGTCCTGGACTGGAAGCACTGGAAGCGATGCATTCGGCGGTATGTGCGCATGGATTTGGAGAAGCGCCGAAGGGCGCATCCTTGTCGCTCATCTTCTTCTCGATACGAACCGGCTTCTTCAAGTCCAGCTTCTGAATGCTCCTGACGCACATCAGCAAATCGCAATCTCATCTCAAGCTCGCAGTATCCGGGCCAACGTCACAAAGTCCAGCCTGATGGCTGCATAGCGCAGCCCCTTGATGTAATTCTTGTCCCACTTGCCCGCAAAGAACACCGAGTAGCGACGGTTCTCCGAGTGCTTGACCACCTCCAGGCTGGGGGTTTAGGGCGTTCAGAGCGTGCTGTGCAGTCTAGTAGTTGAGCAGGAAATCAGGCTTACCGGTAGTCGGTCCGATGGCCTGACGACCCATTTGAGCCATCGCGGTGTCGCCGTTGCAAACTAATGAAACGTCCAGCTTGCTGTTGAAAGCGTACCTAAGCTCGTCGTGCCAAGCAGTTGATGTGATGCGGTTACCATCTGTATGCATTCATACGAGTCCGCCAAGGTGCACACCAAACTTTAGGCGATCACGCGTGTCGGCGGTGTTCGCCAACACACTGCCTTGCGGACAAATGGATGCATCATGCTGCCAAAGTGGGGGGGTGGTCCATCACACCTGACCACTAGACCACTACCCAAACTATACGTGCTTCTCCTGTTTACCCTAACCCCGAATCCGCAAACCCTGAAGCAGAATCCTCGAAGCTCAAAGTTGCGTAGAGCCAAGGCTTCAGGCCGAGCTGCTGTTGATCGCAAGGGCATTCGCCCAGTGATCGCGGCAGCGATCCGATATGTTCGAAGTTAGCTCAGGGCACCAGCTGGGCTCAACCTTGCCCATGTCCTTGGCTCCGGGGCCGCACAGCGGTTTGAGAGTTTCGGGATGGGTTTCAAAGCGTTCGGAGCGGCTGCGCACAACTGCCAGACAAAGACGATGCTTGCGGCAAGAGGCGTGTGCAGAAACCCAAAGATGCCTCCGCCCCATATACCTGCATGCACACATACCTACTGCAGATTGCAGGTCTACCCACGGGATAGCTTGTGGGAAGGCTTGGAACAAGTGTCCTCCAGCAGTGGCCGGGCCTGTGAAAGTGCGGCCACTGGGATGCAACCTTCCACACGCACAAGACCCACCCGGTTCCCCGAATCCACCAAGCTCTCGGCAGGCCGTGCCTTGCGAAGGGTCCTCTGCAGCTCTCTGGCGGCCCGCTCTCCGCCCTCCCGGCGGCCAGGCACCTCAAAGCAACAGCGTCAGTGCGAGCCATCGAGCCGCGACCTCGGACAGCCTGAGATCGCCAGCACGACGTGAAGGTTGGGATATAGAAGATGGTCGCGGCATCGGGGTTTTCGACTCGCAAGGGTGAAGCGAGCGCTCGCGAATAGAAAATTCCTTCCACCCAGTATCCACGATTGCCTGACCTCATCTCCAAACAGACTAAACGTGATTCTTCTGGTGAGGGCATGGGCGCATGGGGGTGCAGGATGCCATAGCAGCTGAGGCGGCTGCTGGCTTCTCCCACATTTCGTGGTCAAGGGATATACAAACAGACGTAGATTTTGCCGCATCTCCTGGTTCCCGGGCAAAAACCAAGCTGGCAGTACCACACTCCATGAGCACATCTGCAAGATGCACTTTCAATTTTCCCTCGTCAGATGGATGGTTTCATGCCGAGCATCTGCCAGGAGCTTGGAAAACTCTTCCTTTTCGAAATCCGCACATGCAAGGGGTGGACGAATAGAGAAATTGAGTGCTGAATGTCCACTCTACCGGCTTTGCATGACGACCGCCATGCTTGCCTTTGCAGAGGCTGGCGGATTCTCGTCGCCTTGCTGCGCACAACGGCAAAAATCTGCAGAACTCCTCTCCAGGGTAAAGACAGGAGCATCCCTTGTAAAATCTCTGCTGCAGGAAATTTCCTGTCTGGCAAAAATATTATGTGCAAAACATCCAAAACGAACAGCGCTGCTTGCTTGGTGACGTGATGCGATGCATTTTACCTGCACCTGACTATGTGTTGAGGCTGAAGTCCTGCTGCTGTAATTCGCGGCCATGCGCGTCACACTCTTGGTCGTTGACGGCTCGGCTGTAGATGTCTCTGTGCTTCGATCGGTTCCTTCATCTCCTCGAAGAACGGGGCCGGATTACAGCTGCGCTTGGATCTCCACAACCCCCCACACACACACACACACGCGTACGACATGGAGCACAAAACGACTGTCCGACAGAAGCGCTCGTGTTCGCTGCCGCGTCTTCGGCCTTCCAGTGTGTAAGAGCAGGACAACACTTGAGGATGCTTGAAGTGCTCATAACGATGCTGGATATCTAGATCGATCTCAAAGGACACCAGCCTGCACAAACGTACCTGTCTTTTCGCTCTCTTCTTCTGGTGCACTTGTAGGAAAAAGGCTTGCCTGGGCAATACCAGCATATTACAAGTGACGGGTGGGAATCATATGAGACGCAAAGACACTGCACACTGCTTCTTGGGCTTGCTTGAACTTCAGAGGATGTGGCGTGAATTACTGGCCTCACGTCCATGCGGATTGCTATCTGCACTGCACATTCAGGCCTCCAGCAGCTTGCTGCCGATGCTTGTAGCGATGCTGGCGTTGAAGCGATGCGTCTGCACTCAAGCTTTCTTGCAATGAGCAGCACATCCGAGACATCCGAAACATTTTGGACAACCGAAACGCAAATGCATTGATGGCTGAATGCTGCGCGCCTGCGAGAAGAGGGCGTAAAAAATCAGTGGGGCGGTCGTCAGCAGCAGCACCAGCAATGTCCGTCGAATCATGGCGCGTCATCACGGCAGAGTAAATTGAGGAGCTGTGAGAGCTCAGGGCTTTAGGGCAAGCTGTCAGAAGGAAGAGACTTACTCCTCAGTGGGCATCAAGCTCCTGGAAAGGGGTTCCGAGTTCCGAGTTCCTCCCGCTGAACCGGAATGAGCAACATAACTGCGCCATCATTAGCACATGCTTGACTCGTCCTGTCACGTCTTGTCTGCTATGTTTCTCTCTCCTCTCTGTTTCCTAACTCCCAGAAGCTCTGGAAAAAAATATCCTCGCGCTACACAATATGTTGCTCCACGTCTCCTCAGGATCCGTTCACGATAAAGCCGCCAGAAACCGAGGCTGCCGCTGGGAGACGATGTGGCCCAGTGGCGAGTAGTACTGTCAACGCCGACAGCCGAAAGAGAGAAGCATCCCAGTATTTAGAGATACCTATGTGTATGGCAACAAAAAATACAAGGAAGAGCGACACAGAAGTGCATTGCAACGCTGGCTAGTAAACACACAAATGTAGTCTAGGGAATTTCTTAGACATCGTTTCGTAACAACAGCACAGCAAAAAACTGGGCTAGTAATGACAATGACATTGCGGCTGATGTGTGAAACACATACATACAGTGCACACACACATATATACATACATACATACATACATACATACATACATACATACATACATAGATACATGCATGCATACATACATATACATACATACATATCATATCATACATATACATGCATACTTACTTACTTACTTAGTTACATGCATACATGCATACATACATACATACATACATACATACAGTTACATACATACATACATACATACATACATACATACTTACTTACTTACTTACTTACACACATACATACCGACATACACACATAAATGGATACATACATACATACATACATACATGCCATGCCATGCCATGTCATGCCATGCCATGCCATGCCATGCCATGCCATACCATACCATACCATACCAATACATACATACGAATGTACATACATACATACATACATACATGACATACATACATACACAAGTCATACACACATGCACTCATCCACATACAAACACATACCCTGCCTACCTTCCTTTCTTTCTTCCTACCTACCTACCTACCTAGCTACGTACCTACCTACCTACCTACCTACCATTAGTACTTAAATGCATCTGCGAGTACCTGCATACGTGCATAGATACATACATACATCCGCAAACATACAATGGCATGCATGCATCCAGACATACCTACACACCTGTAGTTGATCAGTTTCTCTGAATATGTGTTGTGCATATTTCGTTTATCACCAATTCCGATCGGACTCCCTTCACAGCATGAACGCGAACAGGATGATCGTCGTACTCATCATCATCTGCAGCGTTATCATCGCCATCGTGAGTTCGTGAGTGTCCGGGTCAGAGGGTGATATCGAGCGAGCGAGCGAGCGAGCGAG